TTATTTGTACATACAGAACTGGGGTACAGGCCAGAGGCTTTGGGGTGGCGAGAGGCTTCACCAGAGACAGAGCAGGGAGCAGAACAGGCAGATCGACGAAGTACACTGCTAAGGGGAGCAACGGGCAGGTCAGGAGAGGTCTGCCACGCCATGTGGATTTCCTCCGGGGCAGGCGGGAATCGAACTCATGTGGAAATGGCTTAAGCTTCTTAGTGCAGTGCTTTAACCTGCTGCGCCACCAGGGAGGGCCCCAGCTTTATCTACTTTTAACAGTACTTAATTTGCAATGAGATTTCAAATATACCTACTCTGAGAGAATATTTCTCAAGTCTTTGAGAACTATATAGGAAATGGCAAAACATTGTAAACATACAGTTGTTCATAATCAGTTGGCATGTTAATAAGCTTCTTCTCTAGCTTGTAAAAAGACTTCCTAATAGTGAAGGAAACACTGATACCAAAGACGGTAACACATGTTCTTAGGAAAGTGGTGAATGGTAATAGAAAGTTCCAAGTAAAATATGGCACACAAACACATAAAACAGGTCATGCCCAGTTATTTTTAAAACAAAACAAGCAAAGCCAGTGAGTTTTTGTAATTGTTCCCATGAAATACAACACATTTCTCTGGCTCTAAGTCTCTTAGCCTCTTCTTGCCAAACCACCTTCCTCCTCCCTTCTCCATCTCCCCTCCTTACCAAGAAGAAATGTTGACCGAAGTTTCTCTTCCATTCTCTCCCCTATCATAAAACCATACCTCTTGACTCTGCAGGTGTTCAAAGAGGAACAGTACCTCAGCGATGCCTATCAGTGTGCGGATGTCATCTGGCGGTACGGCTTGCTGAGGAAGGGGTACGGGCTGTGCCACGGCGCCGCAGGGAATGCCTACGCCTTCCTGGCTCTGTACAATCTCACACACGATGTGAAGTACCTGTACAGGGCCTGTAAGGTAGGAGTCAGACCCACCAAGAACCAAGCACTGCCTCCCAGAGATTGTGGAAAAGGCTCTAATTAATGAGATTTTGTTCCTTTAGTTTCTAAACCATGAGACTATAGGACAAGCAGTTATTTAAGATCTTCCAAGGCCATTCAGCTGAGTTAACTTTATTTTAAAAGAATATACTACTACTCAGCATCTGTGGGAAGAAAAGAAAGGTATAGTGGTTTTTCCTTCCTCTTTGATAACCTTAGAGATACACAGCTGAGACTGCTCATTAAATTCATACTCTTTCAGAGTAAGTCTTAGAGATAATGTCTATCAATTTCTGTGGGTCTTAGAAGTAATCACTACTGTAATTGAACTTGATCTCACTTTCAGTTTGCTGAGTGGTGCCTCGACTATGGAGAACATGGATGCAGAACACCAGATACCCCCTTCTCCCTCTTTGAAGGTATTTTTCTTTTAAGATTTTTTTTAATTTATGCAATGAGAACTGGATATAGGCTAGAGGTGTGTGGGAAGAGGATTCACTAGAGACAGAGTGGGGAGTAAAGCAGGCAAATCTACAATACACTGCTGGAGGGAGCAGCGAGCAAGACAAGAGAGGTCTGCTGCACCTGTGGGTCACCTCCCTGGTCAAGGATCGAACTCATGCCGCAGTGGCTGGCAATAGCTTGATAGTGCTGAGACTTTAACCCCTGTGCCACCAGAGATGCCCCTGAAGGCATTTTTCATACATTATTTGTATGAAATACATATCATACATTACTTGTCTGGTAATATCTGTACCTTCCTGTTTGGTAATTCATGTATTTGAATTTGAGTTTTGTTAATATTAAAAATCAGTTCACACAGTGACCATAAATGTGGCTACTGTTTGGCAAGACAGGCACCTTCTGGGCATCGTAAGTCATCTCAGCAAAAACATCCAGTTATTATCCTGATATCCCCAGTAAAGAGACTGAGGCTCAGATAGTAAGTGACCGATGGTTCCGTGGTAAAGGAGCACTCACATATGATAAAGGCAGGGCTGTGCCTTCAACTTGGCTGATTCCATCTGCCAGGATTCTCACTGCCACGAAAAAGAGCCTGACCACCTCTAGTGATTTCCTTCAACACTGAAGCTGCAACATGTACAAATACAGGCAGATACCTGCTTATTTAAGTCATGGCCATTAATGTCATCATGTTGACACTAAAATAAAGCATACTCACTTGGTATAATAATGTTTGTTTCTCTTCCTTCAGGAATGGCTGGAACAATATACTTCCTGACTGACCTCCTCATGCCCACAAAAGCCAAGTTCCCTGCCTTTGAACTATGAAAGGAAAGGCAACCCCTGCATCTCCCCGCATGACCCTTACTGTGTATCACACCTGGGCTAACGCTGTCCTTGCTTTTTAAGAAACCAGAATCAAACTGTGTTTTTGATTTTTTTCAGAATTCATCTTTAGTTCAGTTCCTTCGCCAATGACCTTTATTTTAAAATATCCAAGGAAAACTCTTATCTTTAACATTGGTTTCTTCCTATAGAAAAGGCTGGTGATATGTACAGAATTTGGAGGACATATGTAGATATAAAGTACATAGTTTAAGCTTATGAATATAACTGTCTAATACTGTTCTAAAAATGTTCAGAAAAAAAACTAAATGTAGGCAAACAAAGGTAAATATGTGATTATAATTGGATATTGCCCTCCCTCTCTTCTTCTGGCATATTCTTCAAACAGGACAGTTTTGTGACTGCTTTTCACTAAGTGGTTGGTTATGACAGGGGAGAAAATATAACTACTATATATACTTCCAGGATAAAAATTCCAAGAATTGCGAACTGGGTTTGGGACCTAAATAACATTTTCAAAATTCACAATGCTTATTTAAAAATAGTATATGCATTCAAATACACTTCTTTTTGTTAGTAAGCATCCAAGTTCTACATGCTGTCATTTTTATCAAAAACTCCTAAAATGTGTGGTCATGCTTTAAAGGTTAGTTCAGGATAAGCTAGCAACAGTTTGTTTTTTGTTTTTGTTTTGTTTTGTTTTTTTGTTTTTCTAATAAGCTAGTATATTTTGGAACTATTTAATCAAGAAGTTTTCTGTGTATGGATATGTTATGACCTTGGACTTGAGTGCAGCCTCTCTACTGAACTTCTCATCTTTTGCTTGTGTTTTACTTACTTTGTGATGGCTGAGCTTTAGTGCTAGCCATTTGTTAAAAGCCATAAGATAGTTTCCTTCCTTCCAACCAATGTAGACATTGGTTTTCTTTATGAAATAGTACAGTACTTATATTTAAAGGGGAGTGGGGTGCTGTATAACCAGTAGCTTGAATAAAAACAAAGCTTTTAAAAGAAATGCTGTTTATTTAAGCGGTATTATCCTGCTTGGCACAAATAAATCCAATGTCTTTGCTTGCCCTGCACTTAATATTCAGCACTTTTTGAGCCCCCAGGTTGGCATTTATATGGTGGATGAAGAACCCTGGGTGCTTCACATTCTATGCAAAGATTTTAACTATTCAACCCCGATTCCTCCTCCTTCCATTCTTTTTTCGCTTGTTGTATCACTTCTACATGTTGACTAATTTTAGATCATTTTACGGATTTTAAAAAAAACAGGGTCTAAAAACATTTTAAGTGCCTGTTCTATGGCTCTCTCCATCACAGAACCATACTATTTTTATTCAAACTTTGGACCAAGTCCCACAGAGTATGCACTGGGTCCTGGGTATAATATCTATTATTTTCTATGTAGTGCCAATAGCCAATGTTTGCAGGAACTGTGTGACCCTTTAAGGCCAGTGACAATATAGGATCTGAATAGCCCGCTGCCCAATGCTGGCATCAGCTAACTCCTCTGCGATGTGCACTAGTCAGGGACAACCTGTGCCTTTCAGATATTAGAAATGCTGCCGGTAAGCTGTGCCTTTCTCGTCAAGGTCGCAGAACAACAGCACTGACACTGGCAGGCAGTAAAGCTGATTTGCCTTTGGGTGGGTATCCAACTCGAAAGGATAAAGCTCATTTGGTTAAGTTAAATGTCTTACTATACTATACCTGCACTTACGGCTACGATAATTACTAACCAAGAGAAAAGAACAAATATACTTTCTTTGAGCCAGAGGAGACTTGATTACAGTGTTTCTCCAAACTCCTTGATTGATTTAATCCCAGGATGACTTGAAGGCACAGAGAAAGAACATTTAAGTTTCTGCTTCCTATATGGATTGCACTTCAGCCACTGTGCGCCATTAGCAAATGTAGCAGGGCAAACAAGTCAGATTTCATTCCTCCTTTTGCTTTTGAAGACTTACTATACTGGCAGGATTTTATATTTATGACATTATTTTTATGCTTAAGAGCTAAGAAAGTTTGATAGAATTTAAAACTCAGGCAAAGACTATAAAACTAAGACTAATACCCTAGTGCCATGGTAGATACTGATAGTTAACAAAAGTTTTCTTAGTATTAAAATAAAAAGATCATTTCAGTTTTATTTCTGTTGCATCATTTTTCCCTCAGATATTTTTCTTATTAGGAAAAACTTCCCCAAAATTTGCTTCCCAGAGAACTCAATAACATGCCTTATCCCCATGTAAAGGCTCACTAGTAAAACCTTAAAAGCTTGTCAAGCAGTATTCAGTTGTCCTGTCATGTGTATTTCTGTAATGATGGGAAATTGCTGTGATTTAACTTTCTGGCACATGAAATACGTTAACATTATCAGAACCATTTCCATGATGCCATTGGGTTTGGTCTCATCTGAGATTTAGCATTTAATCCTTAGTCATTTGGCTCACTTTTCATCTTTGATGTCAGTTCCAATTATTTGGCATCAAAAGCCTTTATGGTAGGTAGTGTTTTAAGTAAAAGTGTGTCCGAGACCATTTTCTATAATTATTACCACTTCTATAATGGACTGAATTGAGAGAGACACTCTGTTCCTCTGTCATCAGGTTAATTTCTTTCAATCTTATGATGTGCTGCCTTCTACTAGCTGGTTTTGAAACAAAAAAATGTGAACAGCAAACATTTAGACATCCACTCATTTGACAACTAGAACCTACCTGTAGTTCTTTAACACTCACATTGAGTTCTGATTCCATTTTTCTTCCCCTAAATAGGCAGAGCACCCCATTCTATGTCTGGATGCGTGTAGAAAAATGTTCTTTCCTGTAGATATAAAACAAAGTGGATATTCAGGGAACCCACCCCAATATTAGTTTGCTATTTTTTTGGCAAGGCTTGGAATCTCATGTATTTCTGCATTAAGCAATCAACTAACTTCTCTTGTTCTCAATAAAATTCAATTAGATTATCTGTCATCATGCACTTTCACTTACTGTAGTTTTACTATTTCCTTCCAGTGGTAAATGAAAGCTTTTCTATGTATATTCACTCATTAGGGTTTGTTCCAGACTTTTCCTCCATTGTTCTTTCTTCAAGACTTTCAATACATTTTGAAAGTAGAGGTTTATGATAGGAAAATATTTTAATTTATGATCACTATAGATTTAGATGGAAACTGCTACGCTTCAAATAGTAGTATATTGGCTATCTCTTACAAATGAATATCTACCCTGGAGTTACTACTTAAAGGCCTACTTCAAAAAACTGACTTCTCTGACCAATTGTAAAGGAGGAAGGGCTTACACAAGACATAACTATCAAATGCTTGGACAGAACTAGGAGAACAGTTCTACTGAGTCTTCTGCATGACTTTGTATGACTTCCTTTCATACCACATCCACATGGTGTCATTTAGCACAACAGAGATTTGTCAAAACACTTGCTTTCATCCCTGAATAACACTTTGTCCTCTGGTACATACCATTAAAATGCCCTTCATGCTCCTAGATGATTGTTTGAATGACTCATAATATGAATGATAAGTGATAAACACTTTTATTTCTGTCCTTTAAACAAAGGCATAGATGGTGGTACCGCATCTTTAGATGTGAGCAATGAGGCAGAGAGAGGACAGTGTGTCTCCAGCTACCCAGACACTTCGCTGCTAGGAGCATTCCTCTAACTCCCACAAGATGACATTTCCATCGGTAAGGCCAGTTAGCATGGTCCTCAGGACTACCACTCCTGGCTCATCTTACTATTGAAAGAAGAGGAATGATAGGCACATTCATGTCACCATAATTATAGTCTCAGGAGCAAGTAAAACTTGAAGTTACTAATTTCTTGTCACTTATCTGTGACAGCTTGATTTTTCCTAAGTTTGATTAGAAAAGTATTCCCTCTCATACTCTATGAATAGAATATTTTTGTCATTTCTCCAAGATAATTCAGCATCATTAGAAACTTAGTGTATTCTGGGGCCCTCCCTGGTGGTGCAGTGGGTTAAAGCACACAACACTAAGAAGCTAAAGCCACTTCAGCATGAGTTTGATCCCCACCCAGGAGGTGACCCACATGGCGCAGCAGACCTTTCCTGACCTGCCCGCTGCTCCCCTCAGAAGTGTACTTTGTCAGTCTGCCTATTTTGCTCCCCACTCTGTCTCTGGCGAATCCTTTCACGGCCCATGCACCTTTGTATGAATAAATAAATCTTAAAAAAAAACAAACAAACAAAGGCTCTCCCTGGTGGTGCAGCAGGTTAAAGCACTGCACTAGGAAGCTAAAGCCACTTCCACATGAGTTCTATCCCGCCTGCCCCAGAGGTGATCCACATGGCATGGTAGACCTCAACTGGCCTGCCCACTGCTCCCCTCAGCAGTGTACTTCATTGATTGCCTGTTCTGCTCCCCGCTCTGTGTGTGGTGAATCCTCTCACCATGTCTGCACCTCTGGCCTGTACCCCAGTTCTGTATCCATAAATAAATAAATCTTTAAAAAAAAATACTCTCCCATCAATGAAACAGAAACTTAGTCACTTGATTATTTTTCTCTGTTCCTCTTCTAAACTCACCCCTTTCACTAAAGCTAAAGTTCAATTAACAAAGTGAGAATTTTTTTTTTTAACATTGGGAAAGGACTAACTTCATTGTCTCATTATTTAAATTATCCAAACACTATTTTCCAGAAGCCCTAGCTAGTACATTCTCAGAGACCTATTTGACAATTTGGTGAATAATGAGAGAAAACAAACACAATAAATAAACAGGTAAAATAATGAGGATAGAGAATTGGATCTTAGCAGCTTAATTTCACATTTCTACATTATGTTCACTTTCATCCACATGCAAATTGTAACCATAGTGACATTAAATTAACAATAATGTGTTATCACTCTACAAATAAGTGTTAGAGAAAACGTTTGTGAGTCAATTAATCATTATGCGGGGAAAGGCAGGACCCTTGCTAAGTCAGGTTATAAAGTAGCTTTACAGTTGTCTTAATTTCTCCTCTAATGGAGCTGGGATATTAAGAAAAGCCATTGTAGCAAAAAAATGCCGATGCGCCTAACTGTGAAAGCTGATGTTTAATATTGATTGTTCTCTCAGGATTCAATATTCAGGAATTAGTGTGTACCCCCTTGCTGGTATAATCCACACGATCACTGCACTGAGTTCATAATGCTGCTGATGGAACATTTTATTTAATCATGTCACAGACAATGCTTTTAAACAGTTCTAGCCCCAAATTCATTAGACACATACATGCTGTGCAAGGTGCCTGGCAGGCAGTTCTGTGTGAATAAGGTAGACATATCTGCTCAGAAAATTCAAGTTTGGTGAAGAAGACAGGTGCTGAGACAAGTAATTACATGAAAAGTTACCTAGTATTTCGGTTATTTCTCCAACTACCCTTGTTCACAATTTCAAGAATATTCAGGTTTCTTATGGGACCTGTGGTTTCTACTTATTTTGGAGCTAACAGAGTTCTCCTGCAAGGAGAAAACACTTATAATTCACTCAGCATTCACAAAATATGGAGTTCTTTCATCAGGATCACCTTGGTTGATGGGCAAGGTGGAGGGACAGTAGAGGACAGGCCACTTATTTGACCCACTTTTAAAATCATTGAGCATTACTAGTAATATTTAGGTTAAATCCACTTCCTTTAGAAGTCTTCTGAAAATGCAATTATTTTCAAAGACTTAGTATATCAACCCGCCATTTGTCATTAGCACCTAAGTAACTGGCTCATGATCTACATAGCAATTAATCTGAGGATCTTCCATCCAGCAAGTACCAATCAGCCTGCTAGAATATGCTGTCACAGCATAGTATTAGGAAGACAAGCTATCTACTCACAGAAGATTTAAATCTGGAGATAAATCTGAACAAGTAACTTCAGTGTGATATAAAAACACCAGTTTGGAGTGGGTCGTGGAAGGGGAAAGCTAGAAGTATACGGGGATCAAGGAAACTTGTTAAAGAAACATTAAGGTCATGTATTCTCAACCATGAGTACAAACCCTCTAGGGATCTTGTTAAGATGATTCTAAAATGTCCACTCAATGCAGCCTAAGATCCTGCATTTCTAGGAGGCCCTGCTGATGCGATAGCATCTGAGTACAAACCCAATATGAGTCCTGACTCAACAGAGAAGAAGGAAGTGATGTTGAGAGTTAGCAGAGCAGCTGGATGGATTGATTGATTTGTGTGAGTCAAAGAGCACAGGCTGTAGTAGCAAGAGTATGAAAGCTGAACTGACTGGAGTCTTGATATCTGATGACACAATTCCATGGAATGTCAAGGCAATACAATCTTGAGGTGATTGGTTTTCTGTGGTGGAGAGAGTAGTAAATAAAAGCAATGCACTTGGAACAAATATGTGTTTACAATTCAATAGAAAAATTGTCAGGCAAGTGGGATCTCTGGCAATCCAAAGAGTCATAAACTTTTAGTAATATGAGAATTATAAGAAAGAGATTTATACTGAAGAATTAATTTGAGTCATTTAGAATCATCAAGGTTTTTAAGAGGAAAATTAGGCCCACCTGCTCCTTGTTTAGAGTTTATGGAGAGCCATCATAGCCAACTTTTAAAAGTGTTAAACACAAACACTATTTCCAGTTTTTTTTCATATGTTCTGAGTAGAAGTACTAGAGGTGTCGATTGCTCCTATTTGCCATCATGTCATTTGCCAATTTTCATAAACAAAAATATCATAAAGTGACTCAGTATTTACCTAAGGATCGTTCAGTGCTTAAGAACAAGGCTGATCCAGGGAGCTTGGAAACTTCATTAGAAATAAGAAGACCTATTAATTCTCAACACCTAAAATGACACACTGCTTGATACAAATAACTGTAGGCATTAATACACTTCTACTCCTATTCACATACACATTTTCTGGGTGTTTTGATTCAACTTTGATCCTGAGAGTTTGATTCTGATTTGCTCAAGCTAGAAATTGATCCAACTTAGATGACTCACATATCCAATGGATTTTTACCACTTACAATGGTGATTGCACAGCATGGGGTGTATTATCTTTTACACATTCTTATATTTTGTTGAAATATTAAAAGACTTTTGTAGAGCAAGCAGGCACAGAGCTGAAGAATAAAGGACAGCCCCAGAGCCGTTGGTGGATTTTTCAGGCTTTAATGCTCTCAGGGAACCAAGTACACAGACACACCAGGCAGGGAGGCAGGCCTAGGTTAGGGGTATGGGCAGAGGAGATGCCAGGAGGCAGGCAGGCAACAGCCTCCCAAGCCCTCCATGAAGTTCCCGTGTAGACTTACCTCCTCTGTAGTCACTCCTCTCGCAGCCGCCCTTCCATCTCTGAGCAACACCACTCTTACAGCGCTGACCTAAGCTCAGGTGCGCACACTCACACCTGCCACACCCATACTTCATGTGTCCACAATCAGGCATGCCTGCCCGCGACCATGCTCCCAAGCACCTCCGGCGTTAACACGAGCAAGGCCACAAGTGATAGCCACAGAGGCTTTGTCCCAAACCCCTGACCAACTCACCCTACAACCCTGTAAAGGCCTTTTGTAGTTCCATGAAAAAGTCAATGCATCATCTTATCTACCTTAGAGTCTTTCAAGTTGCCCCTTCACCTTAATTTCCTAATTTAGTGATAGTGTTACCGTCTACCTGGTGTTCAAGCCAAACAAAGCAAATGTTACCATTGGGCCTCAGTGTGTAGTCTCTGAACCAGCAAACATTAGTTAACATTTCCTCGCTCTTGTTAGATAAGCAAATTCTAGGATCCAATCAAGACTTAATAAGTCAGAAACACACAGTAGTAGGCCTAGCAAATGGCCAGGTGATTCTGACCAGTCAAGAGAAGCACTAAATTAAAAAATATAGCCACAGTATGTTCTGTGGACATCAACTCAAATGTTAATTATTTCAATTTGTATTTTCTTGTGTTTCGGAACACACACGCGCACGCACATACACACACACAC